CCTCATGAGAGGAACACGATGACTGACGGGGGCCTGTCTCCAAGGAATGCATGTCCTTAGTCCAGGAGATAGACTTGTCCACAGAAAGGCAAAGCAAAGCGAGTGTCTCCTAGACAGCTGGGAAAAGTGCTGTGCCCACAGGGGAGGCTGGTTCTGGACCTGAGTGATTACAAAAGGTTCCCTGGAGGGGGCAGCTAAGCCAGGCTTGAAGTAGGGGTGGAAGGGGGTGGGCGTTCCTGCTGAGGGGATGGCAAGAGCAAAAGCACACTGGTGGCCAGGATGTGGTGAAGAAGAGGTGAGAGAGGTGAGGAGAGCTCATCTAGTGCAGCAAAAGCAGTGGGGAGCCCGGGGGCCGGGGGTGAGAAGGGATTTTAATGGCTGGTGACAATGTGCCTGGTGTTAAGTGAAAGCATCTGCAGTTGTAGGACAGATAGGACATGGTGTGGAGGACTTGTGACCTGGTAGAAGGGAAGAGAGCAGTCAGAGGTGGCCCCAGTGTCTCAGCCAGGTGCTAGAGTAGGGAACCCAGGAGCCCCAGTCCCTGCTGATCCATCACGTTGCAGGTGAAAAGAGGCATCAGCGGTGCAGACGAGAGGCGCTCACACACGCGAAGCTGTGGGACATGAAGGGCAGCGAGGAGAGGACCTTGGGGAACAGGCAGAGGTGGCTGCATCTGGGAGGAGGGCAATTTCCGCAGGATAACTAGAGTCTTCAGCTGGCGTCTCACCTACAGATGTCCGCACTCTCAGCCACTACATTTATGGGCCAAAGTTTCTGTGGGGAGACACAAAAGACTCAAACATTATGGCCCTTGTTTCTAAATAGTCTACAGTCTTTCCTCTTCCACTGCATTTTTGTGTGGGAGTAGCATTTTAATGGGGGTTGGAAAGTATATGGAGAAAAGAAAATGTCTTTGTTTTCTTTTTGTCTATTATTTTTTAGTTTTTTTATTGAAACAAATGATTATATATATTTGCGGGGTACAAAAATGAATATCAATACATGTATACAACATTTGGTGATCAAATCAGGATAATCAGTATACTGATGTTTACAAAACGTAATCAATCTTTGTGACTCTTAACTAATTTCTCACTAACCCCCATCTTTCTCCCCCTTTCCCACCTCTAATAACCACAGTTCTTTTCTCTCTCTCTCTCTCTCTCTCT